ATTTGTTTTCCTTTTTATCAATTTTAATGTTAATACCTTTTTACCAACACCAAAAAAGGACATAAAAACATTTTCCTTTTACTAATTAATTTTTTTAAGACAAAAACCCTTTTTTAAACAAGTCCTTTTTCTTTATTTCTTATGTTGTACATTTCAATATGGTTGTAATAATAACTTAGGATTTAATTTTACTTGCAATCCCCATTCGTACATATGTACCCCCATCCCCTAAATATTGTAATAGTGTAGGACTTTACATTTCTGCAACTTATCGCTTTCAAATGTAAATGCTAGTAATTAGGGTGTGTATGGAAAGATATGAAAATCAACAAATAGATCACCCTAATCAAGACTAAAATGTATGCAATCAAAACACAATTGGACACTAGCACCCTTAGGGTAATCTCACTTGTCGCCTTCTGGAAAATAGTCATGTCCCTCGAATATGGGACATTTTAGCAAAGACCCTTTGATAAAAAAGATCGTAGTCCCTCGATGACCCTCGATGTTGCCTTTGGTAAATGATCTAGTCCCTAAATGACATTGTTAAAACGTCACATAGGTTTCCTTCTATGACTATACAAATGTCCCACACCCATCCCTTCACATCCAACGATGGGGATTCTTACCAAATCCATGGTAAGAAAGCAACATCTAAAGGAGGAGGAAAAGAACATCTAAGACCTTTTAAGTAGGTAGGTTCGCTCTTAGTTACTCGCTTGCTCACAACAAAAACATTTTATACACCAACACTCTCATTTTGAAACACTTTTGAAAACAATACTTTGTACGCGTTCTTATAGAAACGAGAACCTTTACAAAGAAAATACCTTTTTAAAAAATCACTTTCAAAAACATATCTCACAAACACCTCTTTGAACTATTTTCGAAACAAACACTTTGTATGCGTTCTTATAGAAACGAGAATCGTTACAAAGTTACATTTTCAAAATACTTTCAAAAACCACTCCACAAGCACATTCAAACAAAAGCAAGTGATATAGAAAGTAACTAAGAGCTCATGGAAAACCATGGATGAAAATGGTGTTAATACCTTCCCTTTTCATAATCTACCCCCCGAACTCAAGAAAACATCTCTAAAGGTCTTTCCTGTACTTTTTCGCCTATCCTTTTGGATAAAAGAAAAGTCGGTGGCGACTCTTGCTAAACCACAACATTTGCGAACACAAACGCAAAACTCAAAGTCAGTTCTCCCACCGTATCACTGAACTGGCGACTCTGTTGGGGACTTATTTACTTAAAGTAGGGTTACCTTAGGGTAAGATCACATTTACTTGCTTTAATTGTTTGATTCGCATGCTTTACATTATGGTTCTCTGTTTGGGCTTGATTTGATCCTCCACCCGGATCTGGGACACCTTTTTAGGTAAGTAGCAATAGATTATGGAAATTGTACGGCGTAGACCGATATGGTTGAAGCAATGGCTACGTTAGTGTGACGCATTTATGGGTACCGGTATCCCTCGTGTTGAATCGGGGAGAATACGGGGCCGCTGAGTGGCGTCATGAAGCACTAATTGACTTTAGAACCCTAATTGAACAAACTTGGCCATTAGGACATAGTGAGATAACCAGTTTCGGTGTAGAGCTGAAAATTGGTTGATACTCGATACTACACTCATTGAGGCTGGACTTTTGGGATATCTCGGCCGCAAGAAAAGATTGATTGTGCTGAGACAATGCCTAAGAGAAAGGTCGATGATATTGAGATCCCTTAGAACCCGGTTTCTATTAAATAGGACAGGTTGAGCCAACTAAACTTCAAGAGGGTACTCACCTACAAACTCCATGCAAGCCTAAAACTAAGGATTTGTATGCTTTGTGTGAATATGATTATTTGTATATAAATTTGCTTACCTCGCATATCTGTACATAAAATCATAACATCATACCATAGCATTTTCAATAACATTGGACCATAGAATTTCAAGGATCTCGAGGGCATATGATGTAGGGTCACGTTGAACCAGATGTCTATCAAGGGACAAGAGGATTTATTTTCCTCTTACCAAACGCCGTCAAAGATCAAGTACAATAAACTTGAGTCAAGGGCTAAAACCCACTTGACACGGTGAGCTTAATTCTCGTGGAAGGACATCCACCGATACGAAGTTCTCCAATCAAAATTGTAAGTGACTACTAACATTTACCCCGCGAGATCCTTGAAAACATGCATCCACATATCATGCATCATATCATGACAGGTTTCTCCCATACAAGTCTCCTTATCTTCCTACTATTATTTCAGTAGAGATGGCTCTAGATCAGACTATCAAAGATATCCAGGCTCAAAACTCTTAACTCCGAGAAATGTTCTTGAACCTATCCAAGGGGCAAGAAGAAGTGAAAGCTCTCCTCACTAGGAGCATGATCATGGGGAATCCTGAGGGCAACAAAGATGACCAGTTGGAGCGGCTACGAACTGAGATAGCCATAATGAAAATCCAGATGATGGGACAACTAGTGGGCCAGATGGGTCTCATCCAAAACATGGCACACGGATAAGAGCTGAGAGTCCTCATCAACAAGCTTCGTCAAGACGGATGTAACCAAATGGGGAAAATAGTTAGAATTAGGGATCAAGTCATCATTCAGCCTCCCATGAGACAAGAAATAGGTTTAAGAGAGAGAAGACCTTCCCAATTTTCTTCCACGTCACAAGCCCAATAACGACTTCGTTAACATCAACCAGAAAATCAGCAAAGGCAAAGCGAGCCCAAAAGACAGTTTACCAACATCAACATACCACTGTCTCAAGCTTTATAACACATGCTGAGGATGAATCTGATTACACCAATAAGACCTCATTAAAATCCCAAAAATTCTTCTCTCAGCTACAATCTTGATGCCATGTGTACCTATCATTCCGATAGTCCTAGGCATGATACAAACGATTGTTGGGCGCTGAAGTACCATATTCAAAACCTGATCGACGGAGGAATGCTGGAGTTCACACAAGATGGCCAGACTGAATTCTTCTGTCGTCCCTCAAAGGCTCACCACCTAAAGTGACAAGTTCAGACAAAGAGGCTTCTGTTCATTTGAATTTTGAGTTGTAATTTCTTTTGCTTGTTCAAACACTTATCTATTAATGTCGAACATTGTTTCATTAATGCATTGCATATGTTTGTCTTGAATTCATCCATTCGTTTTCACTATATTTAAACTATGTTTTTACTCTCCTTATGACATTTAACTTTTGCTAAAAGTTACAAGCCTTTAGAGGGAGGATGACGAAAACGATGCCATACAGTATGCTTTTGGATAGACCTTGCTGACGATGTACAAGAGTTTCTTTAAAATCCCAAACACTAGAGTTATAAGGAATATAATCCCTATTCAACCCCTTCGAGCCAAAGAAGTAGAAGTTTTTCACAAAATTAAAACCTTTAATCAAAACATGGGGCAGGGTAGTCTCTCAGTTAATTCAAACGCGCTGTAACGGTGAAAATCGGAGATCAAGCTATTAATTAACTTGACTCGCAAAAGCAAGAGTCGCCACCGCGCTTTATTATTTCCAAGGGAAAAGGGAAAAGAGCGAAATAAAACCCTAAAATATGCAATGTAAAATAATACTTAAAAGTAATAAAAATACAATGCGTTTTTTGAAAGAGATCGAGAGTTCGGGGGTTGGTTATACAATGGGAAGGTATTAGCACCCAGTGCATCTGCGGTACTCCGCAGGAACCTTTTGAAATATCTGTTTTTTGGTTTAAAATTGTTTGTTTGATTAAAATGATTCGTTTGGATAAAAGATGGGTATGGACGAGATTTTTGAAGATACGACGACCTAATGTCGAAGTTTTGACTTAAAAGGTGTGAGTTTGAAAATGAGTTTTTTAGGAAAAATTAACTTAAGTTTAGCAAAATGGTAAAAAATGAATGAGGGTATTCGCACGATCGTATTACTTATGAAGTTAACAAAGCATTTCCCTTGGATTTAACCATGAATATATAAAATAACTTTCATCCACACATGGCGGAGAAATAATCGAAAACTCATCATTACATACTTTATTGACTTATTTATAAAGGAATAATGATTAATCGGTAAGCCCTAAAAAGTTTAGTATAAATTTATGTTTTATCTAAAAAAGAACTGAAGACATATTCTATATATATTTTTATATTAAATAAATAAGAAAATGAACTAACCTAAATTAGTCTAAAAATCTAACTAAGTTAAATAATTAAAGTATTTTTATATCAATATGTTTTTTCTTTTTGTATTTTTCTAACATTAAGATAAAATACACCATAACCAAATTAGGATAAAATAATAATCAAATTAAACTAAAATAAAACAAATGGACTATGGGTGCTAATTGAAAATAGAGAGTGTAAATAAAAGAGTGAGGTCCAAATTAAATTAATCTTCACTAAACAAAACTTAATTAAATTTACAACAAAATAAAGAAAAGGAAACGATAAAAAAAAAATGAAAAAAAAAAATATTAATAAATTTAACATTACTTGGGGAGGATGTTCATTAGTTCACCTTTATTTCTCCAATTCGGATTACCGGATCAATGAAAAAATTATATAAAACAAACAAAACAAAAACTTGGACTTTTCAAAGCTTTTAGTTCTAACCAGTTGCTCGTGACACGTGTCCGATAAAAAAGTAAATTGAAAGAAAAAACAAAATATTGTATAACATGAAAAACAAAACAACGCTTCAGTAAAAACAAGGCAACCTCATCTCTCTTATTGTTCTTTCTCTCAATTTCAAATCTAACCCATTTCATTCTCATCAATAATTTCACAAACTAAAACAAACGCACATGATTCAACAAAATAAAAACAAAGGGAAAGTACAGTTACCGAATTGAGATGCAGTTGACGGTGACAGATTTCTAGCGGAATGGTTCGCGTGTTGGGTCGATGGTGGTGATGAACGGTTGTGGCTTTACAGCAGTTGCGGATCTGAGATCGGATGATGCAGAATCGAACGACGGCGGTGGAATTGGAGGTGACCGATGATGACGGCTGCGATTCCGGTACGACAGCTAGCGTCGGCCAGTGACGATTGGGTGGAGCTTGGAGTAGTTGTTCCGTCGGTAACGGTTCTCGCGGTGGAGGCTTTGTCTTCTTTTTTATTACTTTTTGTTGTTCTGTCTTTTTGAATCCACAAAGTATTATCATTTGAAATTGATGAGATGATCTTGTGTTAAATTTGTGAGAGAAAGTTAACATGAGGTTGTTTTTGTTTGTGAATGAACTGTTAGTTCTTAAGGTTTTTTGAAAAAAAGCTTTCATGATTGCCAAAGAGTACTCTTCTGCAAGAGTTATGTGACGCTATGTGAATTTTTGACAATATAATTGTGTGTGTATGAGATTTTTTTTGCAGTGTAAAGAAAAATATATGCACAGAGTGAATGGAAAGTGTGGATGGTTGTTAGAACATGGTTTAAGGAAATTGGCTAGTGTTTGTGTGGAAACTAGTTCATGTGAGTTTGGAGAAACTAAGGTTGCAATACAAGAATCGTATATGCAGAAGATGTTTTTGTTTTTCTCCCCTATTTCTCAACATTTTTGCAGGGGTTAAGAGACAGGCTATGTTGATGTTTAACTTAAGTTTTGCTAATGGAAACTGTATGGATGTACAAGTTTGAAGTATGGAGGGAGATGATGTCTGTGCAAAATTTTTTAGTCATTACTGCTATTGCCGAAGGTATCTCTCCTTTTTCTTGTTTTTGTTTTTATAGTGAATGTATGATAGAATTAGAGAGAAAATTGGAGCCAAATATCAGTTGAATTCTAGTTTATGTCAATTGCTTTATGCTTTCTTGATGCAGGAAAAATTTAACCATTCTGGGTAATGTTTGGAGCAGTTTATTCTGGACAGCAAGCAAACTACAGTTTTGGGGCATTATTTTTGGACTGATGTGCAGCAATAAAATTATCATTGAAATGTCCCTTTTCTACTTTGCATTTTTCTGATTTTTTTTCATGTAACCATACATGTATTATCCCTCTCTTTTCTTTCAAAATATTGGACTGATTTTGTTCTCATATATTTTGTTGTTTTGGTGGACAGGTTTGGATGAAAATTGAAGCAAGGTTTAGACTTGATATTTGTTTGAACATTTTTTTACAAGGAGAGGAATAGCATAATAATAATAATAACAACAATAATAATAACAAAAAATAAAAATAAAAATATTAAACTAAAAATTTCCAAAACATGAAAATTAAAGAGAAATTAAAATTAATTTTAATTTTAATAATAACTCAACTAAAAAGTTGAATTAAAATTAGAACCAAATTAAGATTAATATTGAAAGAAAGAAAATGAAAATTATAATAACTAAAAGAATTAAAAGGAAAAGATATTAACTATATATTTTTTGTGATTAAAGTGAAATGCTAAAATAAAATAATGCTAAGACATGTTTTTTTTTGTTTTGTTGAGATTTTTACTAAATTAAATCTAGAAGACTATAATTTTGACTTAAGAATAAAAATCTAAATGAAACTTGAAGAGACTACTTTTTTTTTTATATTTTGAATAATAATGCAAATAAAATTAAGATGACATGAACTAAATATTTTTTTAGGATTTTTTTCATGGAATTAAAAATAAAAGAAGAGAAAGTGTAAAATTTATGGTCGGATAAAACACAGTCCAAAATTAAGAATCAAATTCCATTAAATTCGTGAAACAACTTCGAACGTTAATAACTTTTTCGTGGCTTTTCAATGCATAATCATCTCTTGTCTTGTAAAGAAAAATTGTAGATGGTGTCAAGAAAAATCATATGCAAAAAATAACCCCTCAAAATATTGAAATTTGAAGAAGTTATGAATTTTTGAAATCTGACTCGGGAATTGGCAAAAATAGGTTGAATTGCTTGTGAACTCTTGCCATGCAATGATGCGGATGGAATGCGGGATCTTAGGTCAAAAATTGGGGTACAACAGCTGCCCCTATTTAAGTTTCTTCTATCTGGAGATATGAAGATTGGGATCTTCATTTCGACGAGATTGAAGGGACTAAAATATAGAATACACAATTTTTGGCCTTAAGATTCCGCGATCATGTTCATGATATGATATGAATGTAATGCTCTGAATTTTATGGGGAATGACGACATATGAGACAGACTATGCTGGAGAAACCAAGCACATTATACAGTAATCCCACAGAGGAAGAGGTTGTAACTCCACTGGGAAACAAAGTCATAGACTTCAAATGAGAGGCTCTTGAATGATTTACATCAGTGTTGAGACTGGAAAAGAGATGATTTACATCAGTACGAAGACTGGAAAAAGAAATGATTTACATCAGTACTAAGACTGGAACAGGTAATGATTGACATCAGTACTGTGACTGGAAAAGAAAATGATGGACATCAGTACTGAGACTGGAAAGTGATTAACATCAGCATTGTGGCTGGAGATAAACATCTCTGATTTCTGAATTTTACCAAGAACGGTAGCACATTTCTTCTTTAACCAAGATATCGCTTGACATTATTGTTGGGGATACACAAGCTGCTCGAATAAAAAGGCCGCCACTTGCTTCCTTTCAAAGGTGTCAATAACACACAAGTTGCTCATGAAGAGACCGCCGCTTGATGTTTTCTTTTCAAAATTACCAATAACACACAAGTTGCTCATGAAGAGACCGCCGCTTGCTGTTTTTCGATGTCTATAACGTACAAGTTGCTCATGAAGAGACCGCCGCTTGTCGTTTTCCAACGATGTCTATAACGTACAAGTTACTCATGAAGAGACCGCCGCTTGTCGTTTTCTTTTCAAAATTACCAATAACACACAAGTTGCTCATGAAGAGACCGCCGCTTGTTGTTTTTTTCAAGGTATCAATAACATACAAGTTGCTCATGAAGAGACCGCCGCTTGTTGTTTTTAAAGTTGTTAATAACATAACAAGTTGCCTCGTGAAGAGACTGCCGCTTGATGTTTTCGAAGGTGACAATAACACACAAGTTGCCTCATGAAGAGACTGCCGCTTGCTGTTTTGAAAAGATGTTGATAACATACAAGTTGCCTCATGAAGAGACTGCCGCTTGCTGTTTGTCAAGAGTATCCATAACACACAAGTTGTCTCATGAAGAAACTGCCGCTTGCTGTTTGTCAAGAGTATCCATAACACACAAGTTGTCTCATGAAGAAACTGCCGCTTGTTGTTTGTCAAGAGTATCCATAACACACAAGTTGTCTCATGAAGAAACTGCCGCTTGTTGTTTTCTCAAAGATACCCATAAAATATCATGAAGATATTACTGGAGGTGAGAGTCAATAATTTCATCGAGGATGGACAAACTGCTCATGAAGAGACCGCCATTTGTCGTAGAGAAATCAGAAATAATCAAACTGCTCAAATAAAGAGTCAGTCGCTTGTTGTCATGTCGATATTCCAGAAGAGGGTTGTGATAACACTACTGGGGAATAAAGTTCATCTCCAATGGGGAACCATGAATAAATCCTTCTTGAGGAGACCAAGTATTTACGTTGAAAAATAAATGCAACCTCCATCTAGGTTTCACAGCCTAGAGAGATCCACAGGGTATCATTCACAAGAGACAAAGCTCAATCCAGGAATAAACTGGAGAGAAAATAGTCAAACAAGACTCCACCCAATGAGGAAACAACTCAAATGGGGGTTTATCCTATCCAGAGATGGAAAAGGAAAGCTAAAGCAAGATTCTTCCACGAGAGTTAACTCAGTGGGGAATTAGAAAAGATGCACACTTTCTGCTTAAGTTGACACTCTATTTGGAAAGATCAAATACACTATTTGAATAGACATAACCAAGGTATACGAACTTCAATGACATCAACAAATACAATTGTGCGTGCATGATACAAGTGTGAAGGAGTAAATGAATGTCATATATATGTTGACAAGACAGACAGGGGAGATAGACAGAAGATGATAAGACGTCCCAGTACAACTCGACACTCGGCTAATCTTAACAGGATGGTAAAATTACTGGAGATAGAAAACAACAGCCATCATTGGAGCAAAATCCTTTTACAAGGCTTAAATATCTCGGGAGAGGAAGATATTTTCAGGTAGAAAACCCCGAAGTCCAGTCTTCTATTGTCGACAATCCATTGAAAGGATAACAACATAAACAATGTTTCAGCTGGAGAAAGTCATGCTTAACTGGAGATACTGGGAACACCATCCTCTGATAATGCATGAAAAACATATCTTGACAAATCTGGATTGCCCCTGGGATTAATTTTGGACGCCCCAAGCTTATTGCTGATAAGCTGCGTGATGCTCGACGATTCTTACGAATAACTTCACTTCTAAAATGCCCCAAGCTATATGGCTGATGAGGAGAAATCGTCTCAAGAGGATTTTACAAATAACCTGGCATCCACCATGCTCTGGTGTCTTCAAACTCTTAGAGATATTCGTCAAATCTCGACGTGATTGCCCCGGATTGACTGTAGTTGGCACAACAAAGTCTTCAAACTTTGCCCCAAAAGAGTAAACAAGTCGGGAAAGCATTAACTAGGAGAAGCAACATGTTCGTGCTTACGGTCTTCAGGTGACATGCCCCTGGATATGATTTTTTTTCTTGAAATAATTCGCCAATTACTCAACATAGTTTCAAGCCTTAAAAGAATAAACTCATCACTGGTGCTTATATGTGAGTTTCCTTGATATCAAACAAATGTTTTGCAGTTAGAAAATTTTATTATGAGAATGAAAATTCTAATGCAACCGTTATGTAAGTTTTGAAGATTTTGAAAAGATATCGCACAAATTTTGCGAATTAGAGCATCATTTATTTTTGTATAGGAAAAACATATGATACCAACATAACTATCTAGAACATTCATGGGAGTCAGGGAAACTATCTCATTGAAGTATGCTTTCAAAATAACCTTGCTTCAATTAGGACTTTTGAAGGTTGTAACGTGGTCTGGTTCATGGTTTTTAGAAAAAAGATTTTAAGGCTCAAAATATTTGGTGCCCACCCATTCTTCATGATGTTCTCCAACCCTATGTTCAGTTAATTCAACATGAGTGTTCATCTCTCAAAAGGATTTTGTGACGGTCAAGGAAACGACGAGGCTTTCGGAGTAGAAACCACCCTCATGTCTTCGTGTTTGTAGTCACCAATTTGTTCTTTGCTAAGGACTTTTCTTTGCAGTCCTTCTCTTTGCGATTTTCTTTTCCCTAACTTTTGCCTGAACTAATTCTTTTGAATTGATAGTCCAGCGGGATGCCTTAATTTTGCCTAAGTCACACGTTTTCATGTTTTTTGACTTAGCAGGCTTTTTCTTTTTTCTCGATTTTTGACTTTTTGAACAAAATGTGTGACATTAGCTTGTATTTGCTTGTTGAGAAGATTGTGATTGCCTCGTTTCTTGATGAATGAGGGATAACATTATGATTCCACATCTTCTGGCTTCATTATACATTAAAGATAGCCCTCGTAGTTTCTCTTCAAAAAACATTTTCCTTATGAATTTCGAACACTCAGTCAGATTAACTAAAAACTACCCTGCCCCAGGTTAAAATTCAAGGTTTTTTCGTATAAAAGGAACTTCTACTTCAAGGCTCAAAAGGGGTTAGCAAGGGATTATCTTCCTTATATCTCCGGTGTTTAGGGATTTGAAACAATGCCTGTACATCATCAGCAAGATTTTATCCGAAAGCAAACGACCAGAGATTTTGTGTTCTTTAGATCATCATCCTCCCTTAAATCTCTGCCTAGGCAAGAGAATGGGCAACAAGTTGGTATCATAATGCAAAAAGAAATTTAAAATTTGAAAACAAATATGAGTGAAACGAATGAATTTCTTCAAGACAAACATACTCATTGTATTAAGATAATCATTCAGATGCAAACAAGTTCTTACATGCAAACAATGTTTTGATAAATAAGAAAAGTTACAAAAAGCAGAAATAAGTTAATAATCTGGGAAGGATTTCCATCTGGACTTGAATTACCGAAAACATCCTTCAAAAATCAAAGTGACCATCAATCGTGTTTACTCTTTGGCACATGCTTGATTTGAACCTCAAAACCAACGTCCTTGAATGACAAGATACCACTTCTGACCAACTTCTGAACCTCAATCTTCAAAGCAAAGCAACCCTCCAAGTCATGCCCAGGAGCACCTTGAGGAAAAGTACAAGCCAAATCAGCTTTGTAGTACCAATGTATCTTCTCAGGAACCTTCGGTGGAGGTCGGGTCTGAACCAAATTCCTCTGCATCAGGATAGGGAACAACTCTGTATAGGTAATTGGAATTGGATCAAATTGAGTTTTCCTCTGATTAGGAATTTGCTGATTCTGTTGATAAATGGAAGAAACATGATGATTCTGATGATGATTATTTCTTCCTCTGGTTCTCTTCTTGGAAAAGTCATTATCAAACTTCTTCACACCATTAGCTGAGCTACCATCTTCATATGAACATCCTTTCCCAACATCTTCTTCTAGACGCACTCCCACATTCACCTCGTCAGGAAAGTCATTAGGTGCATTAACCATCACCTTCTCATGAGAGAATGATTTTAGAGTTTCAGTGAAGACTTTTATCATCGCTTCTTTCCTCCTAAAAGGATTGACTTGGGCGGCAACCAAAATTTCAACCAAAATAGTTGAGTGATCCATACCAGCTTTCCAAATAGTCATCTCTCTACGGAGTTCAGAAACCTCTTGCTTGATATTCTCCATTGTTTTCTTAGCGCGAGTGTTGTACTGGTGAGACCAAAGGAAATATAAGACTCGGAAAAAGACCTTTGACAGTGAAACAAAAAATGTAGAATGATGTATGATATGTAAAAGAGAGTTTTTATTTGATTTTCAAGGAACTCAAGATATTAAGTTGTAAACATCAAAGTATGAAGATAGAAGATGAATTTTAAATTGGCTCCAAACATTGATCAAGTTATCATCAAGATCAATCATCCATTTTGGTGGATTAGGGTTTTCGCCCTATCAACACCCAAGATCCATTGAGCTTGACGAAACTTGTGATGTTTACAAAGAAAGACCTCCAAATTCCTTCAAAGTCAAGTGAAAAGGGTTTTATGGATGCATGAATGCATGGCTATGCAACAACCACAAGCAAGGTCACAAATAAAGTCGAAAGGTTCAACGTCACGAGCATGGAGTCAAGGTAAGGAACACCCCTAAGGTATGTACTAACGGTTTAATCACACCTGTAGAACAAGGTTCTAAGAGTTCCCGGAGTCTACATTCCTCCTTCGGATATTACCAACGTCTTGATTACTCAATAATCAACAATATTCTCAAGAGAAACTCATCAGAGCGTAGCATCGCGTAACAATTACTTCCGGATTACTCCGTTATAATCTCCGCGCTACACCTAAAAGGCCAAGATGGGTTAGGGTTCTACGGTTCCCATCTTCTCTTGCTCCCAGGTCGAAAATAATAATGTCTTCCCGATTACTCGGTAAACAAATATTACGTTCAAAAGGGCCTTCCACTGAGTGGGGGATCTCATGCCTCCTTCTTCGGGATTACTCCCTCAAAGTTAACATGACTATACCGCCCGTCCTATTCCTAAGTGTAACTTAGTCCGGATATAGGACTTGTCCTTTGTAAATATTATCAACACCCAAATAATCATAATATATACATATAATCAAACAATCAAATAATGATAAAACAGATAAAACAAATTAGGCTTAACCCACTTAGGGATGGACCAGCAAGAGGTCAATCTTTCCCCAGCAGAGTCGCCAATTCTGTAACGGTGAAAATCGGAGATCAAGCTATTAATTAACTTAACTCACAAAAGCAAGAGTCGCCACCGCGCTTTATTATTTCCAAGGGAAAAGGGAAAAGAGCGAAATAAAACCCTAAAATATGCAATGTAAAATAATACTTAAAAGTAATAAAAATACAATGCATTTTTTGAAAGAGATCGAGAGTTCGGGGGTTGGTTATACAATGGGAAGGTATTAGCACCCAGTGCATCTGCGGTACTCCGCAGGAACCTTTTGAAATATCTGTTTTTTGGTTTAAAATTGTTTGTTTGATTAAAATGATTCGTTTGGATAAAAGATGGGTATGGACGAGATTTTTGAAGATACGACGACCTAATGTCGAAGTTTTGACTTAAAAGGTGTGAGTTTGAAAATGAGTTTTTTAGGAAAAATTAACTTAAGTTTAGCAAAATGGTAAAAAATGAATGAGGGTATTCGCACGATCGTATTACTTATGAAGTTAACAAAGCATTTCCCTTGGATTTAACCATGAATATATAAAATAACTTTCATCCACACATGGCGGAGAAATAATCGAAAACTCATCATTACATACTTTATTGACTTATTTATAAAGGAATAATGATTAATCGGTAAGCCCTAAAAAGTTTAGTATAAATTTATGTTTTATCTAAAAAAGAACTGAAGACATATTCTATATATATTTTTATATAAAATAAATAAGAAAATGAACTAACCTAAATTAGTCTAAAAATCTAACTAAGTTAAATAATTAAAGTATTTTTATATCAATATGTTTTTTCTTTTTGTATTTTTCTAACATTAAGATAAAATACACCATAACCAAATTAGGATAAAATAATAATCAAATTAAACTAAAATAAAACAAATGGACTATGGGTGCTAATTGAAAATAGAGAGTGTAAATAAAAGAGTGAGGTCCAAATTAAATTAATCTTCACTAAACAAAACTTAATTAAATTTACAACAAAATAAAGAAAAGGAAACGATAAAAAAAAATGAAAAAAAAAAATTAATAAATTTAACATTACTTGGGGAGGATGTTCATTAGTTCACCTTTATTTCTCCAATTCGGATTACCGGATCAATGAAAAAATTATATAAAACAAACAAAAAAAAAACTTGGACTTTTCAAAGCTTTTAGTTCTAACCAGTTGCTCGTGACACGTGTCCGATAAAAAAGTAAATTGAAAGAAAAAACAAAATATTGTATAACATGAAAAACAAAACAACGCTTCAGTAAAAACAAGGCAACCTCGTCTCTCTTATTGTTCTTTCTCTCAATTTCAAATCTAAACCATTTCATTCTCATCAATAATTTCACAAACTAAAACAAACGCACATGATTCAACAAAATAAAAACAAAGGGAAATTACAGTTACCGAATTGATATGCAGTTGACGGTGACGGATTGCTAGCGGAATGGTTCGCGTGTTGGGTCGATGGTGGTGATGAATGGTTGTGGCTTTACAGCAGTTGCGGATCTGAGATCGGATGATGCAGAATCGAACGACGGCGGTGGAATTGGAGGTGACCGATGATGACGGCTGCGATTCTGGTACGACAGCTAGCGTCGGCCAGTGACGATTGGGTGGAGCTTGGAGTAGTTGTTCCGTCGGTAACGGTTCTCGCGGTGGAGGCTTTGTCTTCTTTTTTATTACTTTTTGTTGTTCTGTCTTTTTGAATCCACAGAGTATTATCATTTGAAATTGATGAGATGATCTTGTGTTAAATTTGTGAGAGAAAGTTAACATGAGGTTGTTTTTGTTTGTCAATGAACTGTTAGTTCTTAAGGTTTTTTGAAAAAAAGTTTTCATGATTGCCAAAGAGTACTCTTCTGCAAGAGTTATGTGACGCTATGTGAATTTTTGACAATATAATTGTGTGTGTATGAGATTTTTTTTGCAGTGTAAAGAAAAATATATGCACAGAGTGAATGGAAAGTGTGGATGGTTGTTAGAACATGGTTTAAGGAAATTGGCTAGTGTTTGTGTGGAAACTAGTTCATGTGAGTTTGGAGAAACTAAGGTTGCAATACAAGAATCGTATATGCAGAAGATGTTTTTGTTTTTCTCCCCTATTTCTCAACATTTTTGCAGGGGTTAAGAGACAGGCTATGTTGATGTTTAACTTAAGTTTTGCTAATGGAAACTGTATGGTATGTACAAGTTTGAAGCATGGAGGGAGATGATGTCTGTGCAAAATTTTTTAGTCATTACTGCTATTGCCGAAGGTATCTCTCCTTTTTCTTGTTTTTGTTTTTATAGTGAATGTATGATAGAATTAGAGGGAAAATTGGAGCCAAATATCAGTTGAATTCTAGTTTATGTCAATTGCTTTATGCTTTCTTGATGCAGGAAAAAATTAACCATTCTGGGTAATGTTTGGAGCAGTTTATTCTGGACAGCAAGCAAACTACAGTTTTGGGGCATTATTTTTGGACTGATGTGCAGCAATAAAATTATCATTGAAATGTCCCTTTTCTACTTTGCATTTTTCTGATTTTTTTTCATGTAACCATACATGTATTATCCCTCTCTTTTCTTTCAAAATATTGGACTGATTTTGTTCTCATATATTTTGTTGTTTTGGTGGACAGGTTTGGATGAAAATTGAAGCAAGGTTTAGACTTGATATTTGTTTGGACATTTTTTTACAAGGAGAGGAATAGCATAATAATAATAATAATAACAATAATAATAACAAAAAATAAAAATAAAAATATTAAACTAAAAATTTCCAAAACATGAAAATTAAAGAGAAATTAAAATTAATTTTAATTTTAATAATAACTCAACTAAAAAGTTGAATTAAAATTAGAACCAAATTAAGATTAGTATTGAAAGAAAGAAAATGAAAATTATAATAACTAAAAGAATTAAAAGGAAAAGATATTAACTATATATTTTTTGTGATTAAAGTGAAATGCTAAAATAAAATAATGCTAAGACATGTTTTTTTTGTTTTGTTGAGATTTTTACTAAATTAAATCTAGAAGACTATAATTTTGACTTAAGAATAAAAATCTAAATGAAACTTGAAGAGACTACTTTTTTTTTGATATTTTGAATAATAATGCAAATAAAATTAAGATGACATGAACTAAATATTTTTTTAGGATTTTTTTCATGGAATTAAAAATAAAAGAAGAGAAAGTGTAAAATTTATGGTCGGATAAAACACAGTCCAAAATTAAGAATCAAATTCTATTAAATTCGTGAAACAACTTCGAACGTTAATAACTTTTTCGTGGCTTTTCAATGCATAATCATCTCTTGTCTTGTAAAGAAAAATTGTAGATGGTGTCAAGAAAAATCATATGCAAAAAATAACCCCTCAAAATATTGAAATTTGAAGAAGTTATGAATTTTTGAAATCTGACTCGGGAATTGGCAAAAATAGGTCGAATTGCTTGTGAACTCTTGCCATGCAATGATGCGGATGGAATGCGGGATCTTAGGTCAAAAATTGGGGTACAACACGCGCGTTTAGCCGCAAACTCTCATCTTGTAATACAATGAATGACATCAAGAAACATTCCTCTGGAATCAAAAGACGGTGATGGTTCCCTATTACATAAGCAGTCACTATCTCTCAAAAAAGTAAAGCCCACTAAGTCAAAACCTACAAAAGAGACTTAAGAAAAACTGGGGCATTCCGCTGACTGTAATCTCAAAACAAGAACAGTCAGGCAAAAATCATGGATAAAAAATCAAAAGAAAGAGGTCACTACAAATCCTCAACAACATGAAAAAAATGTTGCAAAAATGAATGTCTTCCGACAAACTTAACTTGTCTGAACCATCACCAAAACGTCATTCCAGACTCATTTGGAGTTCAAACGCACAATTAGTTGAGTTTAGGACCGAAGAACATCACGAAGAATGGGCGGATACAAATACACTTTGAGCCTTTACCCTTTGTTTCTTAAACAGTGAACCAAGCCACGCTACAACCCTTCAAAAGTCCTAATTGAAGCATGGGTTAATTCGGAAGCATACTGTTACAAAAGGTATCCTAACTCCTGTAAGGCTTTACTCTAAATCCCGAGTTGAATTTTTCTTACAAAATTTCTTTACTTGCTAAAATGCATTTTCAAAAATTTCAAGGCAAGCATAAACTCTGCATTATTTGAATATTGCTATTTGCATATGGCTATTTGTTTGACAACAGATAAATTCACACAAGGAAGATCCAGTGAACAAAAACTCTCTCAATGAACCAAATCATTTCAAGCGGGAAGACACCTCCCATAACAAATCTCCTATCAACAAGGGGGCATGACATGTCACTATCTAAGCACACCTGGGGCAGTCCAGTCAAGATTCCAAGAAATCTCTCAAGACATGCTGAATAACCAGGGACAGGTCTCCATCTGAATCACTTGGGGCTTTGAACACGAATCCCGACAAAGGGTTACGTATAATCAAACATTTCTAGAAGTGCCACAAACACTCGCTACTAGGGGCAGTGACAAATCTCCCCAAAATCCTTCTCATAGGATGACTCCCAGCCAGAGTTTCAATCTCTGAAAACTTTTTCCCAACTGAATCGACTTTAAGAATCCTCGAGGATTTCTGCTAGTGAAGTCTTCGCCTCTCCAACAGACTAAGCAACAAGGTTTATTTCCCTAATAAACGACAGGATTCCCCAACTTGAGGTGGCCTCTCCGACCACTACAAATCAAAGGACCACAACTCCTCTTCCCCAGTAGACTACTCTACAATCCCCAGCAAGTTACTGTGAAACCTGGACCCGATCAAATATTAGTTCAACTTTGACCACCAATAAGAGCAACGGACACCCAAGAATCCTGAACTTCTTTTCCCCAAGCAGGAATCAACTCTCTATAGAAAGCTTTCGACATCCCCCAGCGGAGTTCTCCTCGAACAATAAAACAGGAATCCTCAGTGGAAACATTCTAAGCAAAGTTTGAAGACACACCTACTCTTCAACAACAATTAGGGATTTAATAACTCCCTAACACTTGTCAAGGATTTATTCTCCAAGACAAAATTACATTTCAATAACGTTCATAGCATATGCATAAAAATTATATATAACACAAATATCATTTAATTTCAGAACATCATTACATAATGCATACATCATGACATTGCATACAACTAACTCTTTACCTTTTCAGGAAAGATCAATCGACAGATAAAGGTCATCATCTTTTGAGGTAGTAATCGTCTAAGATTCCTTCATCATCTTTTTGGAGTAGCAATCGTCCAAGATTCCTTCATCATCTTTTGGAGTAGTAATCATACAATATTCCTTCATCATTCTATTCAGATACGCTCTAGTTTCAACTTACAGATACGGTTCAACAATCGTTTCTGGATGACGTCTAACGAAAAATCAGTTCCTGAAACTAAACGAGTCAACTAATCCATATGATCAACCGAAGCAGCCCTACTACCCATGCTTTCATTTCGGAGTAACCCTACTATCCAGGTTCCTTCTCACAATCCCCATTACCTATGCTTCCATTTCTAAGTAACCCTACTACCCAGGTTCCTTCTCACAACCCTACTATCCAGGTTCCTTCTCACAAGCCCCACTACCCAGGCTTTCATTTTGAAGTAACCCTACTATCCAGGTTCCTTCTCACAAGCCCTACTACCCAGGCTTTCATTTCGAAGTAACCCTACTATCCAGGTTCCTTCTCACAAGCCCTACTATCCAAGCTTTCATTTCGAAGTAATCCTACTATCCAGGTTCCTTCTCACAAGCCCTACTACCCAGGCTTTCATTTCGAAGTAACCCTACTATCCAGGTTCCTTCTCACAAGCCCTACTACCCAGGCTTTCATTTCGAAGTAACCCTACTATCCAGGTTCCTTCTCACAATCCCTACTACCTAGGCTTTCATTTCGAAATAAACCTACTATCCAGGTTCCTTCTCACAAGCCTACTACCCATACTTTCATTTCGAAGTAACCCTATTATCCAGATTCCTTCACACAAGCCCTACTATCCAGGATTTCATTTCAAAGTAACCCTACTATCCAGGTTCCTTCACACAAGCCCTACTACCCGGGCTTTCATTTCGAAGAAACCCTACTACCCAGGTTCCTTCACACAAGCCCTACTATCCAGGCTTTCATTTCGAAGTAACCCTACTATTCAGGTTCCTTCATACAAGCCCTACTACCCAGGCTTTCATTTCTAAGTAACCCTACTACCCAGGTTCCTTCACACAAGCCCTACTATCCAGGCTTTCATTTAGAAGTAACCCTACTATCCAGGTTCCTTCACACAAGCCCTTATATCCAGGCTTTCATTTCAAAGTAACCCTACTACCCAGGTTCCTTCTCACAAGCCCTACTATCCAGGCTTTCATTTCAAAGTAACCCCACTACCCAGGTTCCTTCTCACAGCCCTACTACCCAGGCTTTCATTTCGACGTAACCCTACTATCCAGGTTCCTTCTCCCTTATCTCCAGTCAATAGGTCACAACACTGTAAGGCCTAGACTCGATCAGATGCGTTCGATTTCACATTTCCCCAGCGAGTTGCTGTACATCCTGGACCCTGACCGGGTATATGTTCTACTTTCACCTCCTCAGTCAGGAGATAATTCCTCAGTAGAGCAATGGACAACCGAAGCTCCTAGACTTTACTTCCCAGTGCATAAGTCAACATTCCCCGACAAAGTTCCCCCCTCGACAGCAGTTACAGGAACTCTCATCCAGAAA